TCTTTGGTTGAGCCAAGGAGTTTTACAACTATTCTAGTTAACTCTCAACAACCTACACTTGAAAGATCACTCACCCAATTAAGAACTATTTTATACAAATGAGGCAACCTTCACCAAGGTTTTACCACTTCAAGTGATAGGTTCACCTTCACCAAGGTTTTACTCCTCCTAGAGAGTAACCTTCACTTGAGCAACCTCACAACCCAACTTCCCCAACCCCTTATACAACCAACAAAGAATCTTTCTACTCAAAAATCTCACTTGTAAGCTTGTATTTTGTGTTGGCAAAAGTCCCTTGTCTTCTTGTGCTTTGGGGTGTTTATAGAAGGTGAGAAATGGCTCCAAAAGGCTCTCCAACGGTCAAATATTAAATGCTGTCAAAACTAGCCGTTGGCCTGTCGGACGTCCGAACCCTGCGTCCAAACCACTTGTCGGACGTCCGAACCCTGCGTCCGAACGTCGTCAGAGAGTCATCAAATCTTTGCGAAATTTCTCGTATGTCCGATGCGATCGATGTGCGTCCGAGGCGTGCGTCCGATCCTTCCGGACGTCCGATACTTCCTCATGAGCGTCCGACAGAGTTTCCTTCTTGATGTTCTTCATCCTTTCGGACGTCCGATAGCTTCCTTTCGGACGTCCGACATGAGTGCCATGTTTTTGCTTCTTCTTTTGTGCCACAAGAATCTGTTCTAACAAATTGCTCACATAAAAACATTAGCCCAAATCTACATTTTAGTTTGTTAATCATCAAAACCAAGGATTGATCGATCAAGGTCAACAACGAGCAATTATCAATTCAAAATATTTGGCTATCACAACTCCTAACTTATTCCTGCCACAAAATTCAAAAACTTTTAGTATAACAAAGACAATCTCACTAACAAAAATTACAGAATAAGAGTCAAGAAGATGTTGGTTAGCAAATGGAGGGGCTGTCACCAAATTTGAAATTTGTTCACTAAATTCATTCAATAGAGCAATTTGAGGTTGGGGTCTCATTGCGCCCTTTTCAACTGCATTTTTAGATCCTTCTTTTTGAGATTCTTGCAGTTTCTCGTCACTTGTCGGGGTATTTGCACTCTTATCTTCCATAAGGTTGATAATGGTTTGTGAGGGCAACTTTTCATAAATTTGAGAAGCTAATTACGTCACTTAAGATGCCATCAGACACATTTAATCAACAAGTTTCTAATTTTCATCTCTATCTCCTATTGAAATCGATATGTGTTAATAGTTAGTGATTTAATTATTTCTTCAAGAGATCTACCTGACGTGAATGATGGTTATTACTATTTATATTGATGTTAAAAATCTATTGGCTCTGTTGCATAATTAAAGTTGGAGTTGTCTCACCATTCTTGATCATACACGTTTGAATAAGGGTCCCACATTTGAGTTAGGGTTGGAAAACGTTCAAAAGTATAGATTAGGGCACTTAGGTCATATTGAAATGCGGGGCACATATCGGTTGAATGACTCGAGACATAACAAATTTCACAAGTTGCAATAGCCAATTTTTCTATAAGAGAGGTATCTAAATGTGGATTATTAGAAAAAACACAAACCTCATTACCCCTTTTAGGAATAAAATTCAGTCTATTTCCAAAATACTAAATGTTAGCAGCCATAAACTAGTAAAAAAAATAAGAGAAAAATAAAAATAAGATGAACTCAAAAAAAGAAACAAATTAATCAGGTACCAGTCCCCGACAACGGCGTCAAAAATTGATAGGTATCGAGCCTGTGTAATAATAAATATCTACTCGAACAAAATATAGATTTTTGTATATAGTGATAAGCAGGGTTAATTTTTCAATTATCTTAAGAATTAGAGAAATCATATTCTAACCGAATAACACGCTACGAGGGTTATTTTAGGTTAGCCTATATGTTCTCCTGACACAAATCCAATTAAACCAGTCACCACTAATTTTAAGCAACTAAATAATTATGGATTTAACTGCTCTAATTGGCTTTAGGTTATTAGATTGAATTAAATATTGGGCACCCTTGATATTCAAACAACTTAATAACTACAAGAAATTAAATTAGAGAACACACAAATACCAGTAAATAAAAGAAATAAATATAATTAATTTGATCTCACAAGTTTGAATAATACCTGAATGACAAACTTAGTTCGTTCCCAAGAAAAAAGCTATGCGCCAAGTATTGGAATTAATTGTCAAGACCATTTTCCAAGAATACGAGATGAAGTATGGAAAAAAAGAAAAAGGAAAAGACGAGTCATCCTAACTACTTCCTCGTTGTTGTTTTTTTTTTTTTGAATACAAAGGAGAGGCCACTGCCTTTTAACATGGTATTAAGCGTGGGGTTGTGACCCCAATTATATCAGCTCCTAGTAACTCCCTTAGTCCTTCCGGTGGCTCTTCTAATCGTCCGCTTGATGACTGTAAACGGATTGCTTCCTTCGCTAGCCAATCTGCACATCGATTTCCTTCCCTCCAGATATGTTGCAGCTTGCATGACCATTCTCTGCTCTTCATGTTCCTAATCTGTTTCACCAGATTGTGGTAAGGCGATGTGATCACTTCATCCTCGTTGTTGTTTCGACTTTCGAGAAAGAAAAGATAAAGAAGCAAAACATGCCTTTCCTTATTCCGTTTCCTACTACTACTAAACTACTACTACTAAGCGAAATCAAATTGTTTCCAACAAATCAAATCTTATCCAAAAAAGAAAAGACAAAATAAACTAGCATCCTAGTAGGAATAAAATACTATTCATCTGGTGAAAAATCCAACTTTTTTTTTTTTTTTTGGCAAAGCCCCAAATTGGGGTAGGGATGCCATCCCATAATTTATTTATATCGAAAAAGAGTACAGCGAATTACAGGAGGGCCAAACCTGACCTCTGTTAAAGTAAAAGAAACAGCTAAGGATCAACAATTAAAAGCACATATGAAAAAATCTGGAATTCTAAACACATAACAGAGCAATCGAAAAAAATCATCCACATGAGGGTGCCCCACATTTGTGGGAATTTGTGGAAAAATCCAACTCTTGTGACTTCAACTCACAGCTGGAGATCACGAGCCAACTCCTGAGCTTCCTGGACGTGCAGAGTTTAGGCTTGACATGACTATGCCGAATAGCATAAAAATCCAGTGAAGATTACGTCTTTCATCCCTTTTTGCTCCGAATTTCTACAACCAACACCAATCACTAATATGAGTAGAATCTACTAATTAACACAATATTTGGCTAAAAACAAGGTTAAAACGATCATAAATTTAATAACAAAAATGCAACCTATCACAATGAGCAAAAAAATTCCTTTTTTTTTCTCTAATTTCCTAATCAACATGGTATCTTTTCATTCACAGTTTATACTTTTTGGTCTAACCCAACATTCAAGTGTTTCGAGAAAAAAAAAATCTATGGGCTTTTATGGAAGTCAAATTTGCGGTAAAGTCATTTTGTTTTATTCAAAAAGGTTTATCACGGTTCGGACCAACTACATCGCAAGTCTAGTAATTAATTTTTTAATCAATGAAACAGCATCAACTGGACAAATAATGCCACAATTTTGTTTATATTGTAATTTAATGTCAAATTAGTGGGTTCCAAAATTTCATTTGGAGTATTTTCATTGTCAAAGGTCAACTACTAAGCCTGTCAAGTAGTTTGTTCAGTTTATGATGAAATTTCTAGTTTCCGCGATGAACTTTCTTTGGAGTATGTGAAGTCAATTGTGTAATTTAATGTTAATATCATTTTAAAACTTGAAATCAGACAATATTCGTCACATACGTTATATCAATGGATTAATATACATTTGCTACTTTGCATTATGCATTATCTGGTAGAATTAATTAAAAATTGGTTAATAATTGAGTCTAACTGATCCTGAAATGAAAGATCTATTTATTGGTCTGCTTCATGTTTAAATGTACCCTATTATAAGTAGTCATAGTTACAGTATCTCCCACAAGAACTTGTGTTATAAGATGCACGAAGATATCCTCGGAGAAATCGCTCTCATGCCTTTCTCAAGTCACTGACAAGTGACAAGAAAGAATGCAGACACATGTTAGAAGGAAGGGATATCTGTCATCACTGTCTGTTTAGTATCTCTTTAAGTGCATGTAACCGTCATATCTCCTACACTTTTTCTTGCATTCTAGTAGATTTATGGCTTTTTCTTGAACTTCACTTTGTTTTTGTCATTTGTCTACTTCTTCTTAATTGAGATGATAAGCTAGAGTAAATTCGCTAGCATAAGATAACTTCCTCGCACTAGTGCCATTTTTAAGGGGGATTAATGATCTTTCTCTCGTTTCTACCAATTCATTTAGTATAAAGCCTCTTGGATATTCATTTCGTCAGCGCCTTAAATTCAAGAACTTCAATCTAATCTCACTTTTACTGAACTTTGATAACTCAGGGTGATTATATATTTCGTTTCACGCCAAGGACTCTGTCTATTTAATGCATGATTTTTGTGATCTATTAAATAGTTGGTTTCTTTTTTGTTGGATTGCATTAATTGGATTTTGTTACCTGCTTCTTTAAACGGTGGTTGTTTTACTTTCCTTATAAGCATGCAGGCAAAATTGCAATGCTGATCTGTGGAATAATTTTCTCAGTGTGGATGCTTATCTGTTGTCTGCTAAAATTAATTTTCTCAGGATAGACGCTTATCTGTTGTCGGCTGAAATTAATATACGTCTGTTGTGAGATGCGGCTTATTAATAGAGAGCTCTTAAATTGAAGTTGTTCAATTTGAGTTTGCTCGATCCGAGTTTACTTCCTGGTTTCTCTTCTAGTCTTCAAAGAAAGGTGAGTGCTAAATTCAATCACAATTTGCATGTTTGGATGCTTCAAATGTATGAATTCTTTCAATTAATTACCAGTCTTAGTTGATCCACGATGTATCCCTTTCATGCACTTGTGTTTTTCATCTGCATGTGATTCAGTGTCTTAAATGAGCTTCATTCATCTGAAGGTTTGAAAAAAAAATACATGTTAATCAGGGCAATGTCCCTCAGCAGAGACCTCCTCTTCTTGATTCGACAGTTCTGCAAGGACGAGAACCTCCACAAAACTGCTCATATGTGAGTTTCAATTTCCTATTTTCTAATTTCAGCTACGGTTTTCTAATTCAGCAAATTAAGCAATGACTTTAGTTAAACCTTTGACACGGTGAACGAATTCCATATAGGCTCGAGCAAGAGACTAGTTTCTACTTCGACATGAATTATTTTGAAGAGCTGGTATTGAGTGGAAATTGGAGCGAGGTAGAGGCTTATTTGTCGAGCTTCACAACACCCGATAGCAACGAGTATTCTATAAAGATGTACTTCGAAATCAGAAAACAAAAGTTTCTTGAGGCACTAGACAGGTAAGTTATGTTGGACTGTTTATTAAAATTTCAACGAAACCAGTTTTTGAAACAATTTAACACATGCGTTTTTGGTTTGTAGGCAAGACTTGGCTTTGGCACTAGACATCCTGCTGAAAGATTTGAAATGTTTTGCGTCATCAAATGAACACCTGTACAAAGAAATGGCTTGGCTCCTAACAATGGAAGACTTCAGGCATGGATTTTGTGCTTGTCAATCAATTCTTTAGACATTATACATATTGATGACACCACCAGCTAAGCAGCACCGACGACTGCTATTATTATAATTCCAGAAAACACCATTCGCTCTCCACGTATGGAGATATTATATCTGCTAGAAGACGAGTCATGGATGAAGTTAAGGCACTCCTTGAAGCAAATCCCCACTTCCGCCGGAAAATAAAGCTTCCTAACATGGAGACCACACGGTTACGGCGGCTCATCAACCAGAGGTACATGTCTTCTCTTTATGTCATTTTCCATTTGGAATTTTTCCAATGATATGTTTAACATCTTTGTCGTTTTTCTTAATTAAACATCAAATAATATTCTTGGAAAATTAGTTCCATTTTACTCAATGAATCTGATCTTCTTTCATTATGACATGTAGTTTGAACTGGCAGCATAGTCAATGTGGACGTTCTGAGTGTGTGCCCCAAATCAATTCCCTTTTGTTTGATCACAAATGTACTGGTCAACTAAACGACCAAATCCCATTGGTATTTACCTATCTCAGCCTGGATTTATCTCTTTCTCTGAGTATCATTTTTTTTTCTAACTAATCCTTTTCTCCATAATTAATTTCAGTCCTTTCAAGCTATCTCAGTATCAAAATCTCCGCTTGTTGGCAATTCGAATTTTCCACTATTTAGGTTGCCTGACTCTCAAATTTCATCCAGTGCTATCAACCCTACAAATCAAAACAACCTCGGTACCTTTTGATCCCATATGTTTATTAATATTTTATTATTATGCACTTCCAAATATCTTACTAACCATGAACCGCATTTTTAGTTGTGACTTCGGAGGCTATCAAGGATTCCACCAATGCCTTTAGAATATTCTCGAGGATGCCTGTGGATAAGGTATTTACAAATGTTTGATAAAGCTTGTCATTACTAAAGTGATTATGAGGTGAATGAGAAATCACATTTAATAGATCTCTCTCTCTCTCTCTGTACATATATACATACATACATACATATATACGTGCATATATATATATATATATATCCTTATACTATATAAGAATAAGTTGTGGTCAAAGGAGATTTAAATTTTAACCGCATGAATAGGAGCTTTTTGGGAGTATAAAATATTGTGTAGTTTTTTTAAAACTTTTCATACAATTGAGGGTAGTATGTGCTTAGGTATATTTATCGAAATACCCTCATTTTGGTAAATTTGAAATTTTGATTTATAGAGACATCTGGGCATTTCTGGAATATGAAATTATTTTGCAACCATTTTTGCATCGAGTACAACTCATATAAGCTTATTTGTTGGTATAATTACTAAAATGGTGTTATAGACACATTTAGTTAAAGTGTGGCTTTTGTTGTGCAATTAACACAAAAACATATTAATACGTTATACAATTAACACGTTGCTATAACTGGCCATTGGAGGATATCTTTATACTATATAAGAATGAGTTGTGGTCAAAGGGGATTTAAATTTCAACCGCATGGATATGGCTTTTTAGGAATGTGGAATGTTGTGTAGTGTTTTTAAAACTTTTGGTACAACTGAGGATAGTATGTGTTTGGGTATATTTACCGAAATGGTCTCATTTTGGTAAATTTAAAGTTTTGATTTGTTGATACATCTGGGTATTTCTAGAATATAAAATTATTTTGCAATCGTTTTTGCATTGAGTACAACTTATATATGTTTATTTGTTGGTATAATTGCTAAAATGATGTTATAGACACATTTAGTTGAAGTGTGGCTTTTGTTGTTCAATTAACACAAAAATATATGAACACGTTGTGCAATTAACACATAGTTATAACTAGTCATTGGAGGATATCCTTATACTATATAATAATGAGTTGTGGTCAAAGAGGATTCGAATTTTAACCACATGGATAGAGGCTTTTTGGGAATGTGAAATGTTGTGTAATTTTTTAAAAACTTTTGGTACAATTAAGGGCAGCATGTATTTAGGTATATTTACCAAAATATACTCATTTTGGTATATTTAAAGTTTTGATTTATAGAAACATCTGGGTATTTCTAGAATATGGAATTATTTTGTAACCTTTTTTGCATTAAGTACAACTCATATAAACTTATGTGTTGGTATAATTACTAAAATTGTATTATAGACACATTTAATTGAAGTGTGGCTTTTATTGTGCAATTAACACAAAGACATATTAACATGTTGTGTATTTAACACATTGTTATAACTAACCATTGGAGAATATTTCTTTGTCTGAAACAACTTATGTCTGCTCTTGAACAATTTTCAACTGATATCTGTATGGGTCTTTTGGGAATTATAAAATTGTAAAAATATTGATAAAGCAAAGTGTACAAGTGTGTGTTGCAATTAGAACGTACTATTATTATGTTTGTCATATTTAATGGCTATTTCTTTGCAGAATGTACTATTATTTGTCCAATGAAAAATCCTCTCTAACCATAGGTATCAAACATGGGTACTCCCCCCCTAGTATATATGTATGTATGTGTGTGTGTGCGCGCGTGCACCTTATTCTACCAAGCTAGCTAGTGAGCACTTGTATTATCTTTCCCTTGCCTTTTCTCCTTCTACATGTAATCATCGCTCTTTTGGTTTGCAATTGTACTGGTTTAGGTTGTGTCACAAACAAATGTTCCAGTTCAAAGCCAGAATTTGGATGTTAATTGTCCTGAGGACTTACCTGGAAAGGTTGAACGTTGTATGGACATGAGCTCCTTACCGACTAGCATGGACTTTCATCCTTTGAAAGCAACTCTCTTATTAGGTCAATTGTCGTACGACTAAGTTACTTTACTAAGTTAATGTTCTACTATCAAGTATCAACTTTATTGACATGTGTATTATTGTTCTAATTTTTCAGTTGGAAGCATCAATGGTGAAACAGAATTGTGGGATGTCCGCTCTGAGGTAAAATTTTTTTGGAATGCGTTCATGATTTGGAAGAGAGAGACCATCTCCTCATCATTCCTGGTAAATAAATTAATTACTGATCATTATTGATCTTCATCTTGGAGTCGTCCTGATACTATTTGAACCTTTCATTTCAGATTGATTATAATCAAAATCCCAAAATTTCAGTTAATCGTGTTTTATGGAGCCCAGATGGTTCAATCTTTGGTAAATACACAGGAGTTGAACTTCCTCTTTACCATCTATCTTCTAAGTATTTATTTTGTTAAAAGTATAATTTCTTTTACCCATTATAATAGGTGTTGCATACTCAAAACAAATTGTCCAGTTGTATTGTTATCATGCTACTGGTAATTACATCGAAAAACAATTGGAGGTATATCTATTCTGTTCTCTTTTAAATTCTAAAGTTGTTCACCTTCTGATAACCACTTTAACTTTGAAGATCGATGCTCACTTGGGAGGGGTACACGATCTTGCATTCTCTTCGCCATACGATCAAATTCTTGTAATTACGTGTGGAGAGGACAAACTCATTAAGGTCCAAATATGAAATTGTACTCTAGTAATTTTACTAGTTAAATGAAATAGGTAATAATATTTATAGTTTGTGCCAGGTGTGGGATAGTATGACTGGTTCCAAACAATACATATGTGAAGGTCATGGTGCCCCTGTGTACTCGCTGTGCGCTCATCTGAAGGAAGATATCCATGTATAGTTTCTCCTTGTTACCATTAAAGACTTTCCTTTCTCTACTTTTTTTTTTAACTTGATTTGGTATATTTTTTCTTTTTTTCTAATGGTTTTACTAATTGATGCATTGCAGTTTGTATTTTCTACATCAACAAATGGTGAGATAAAAGCGTGGATGTTTGACAATGATAACACAGGACCAAGGGTTGCCCTTGATGCACCTGGCCATTCTTGCATGAGAATGGCCTATAGTGCTGATGGTAAAAGGTAAGTCCTAGATATAGTATTGTCCTTGGTGTTTCTCCAGAAACTAAATCAACCAAACATTGTCAGGCTGTTTTCTTGCGGGACAAACGAAGATGGAGACTCATATTTAGTTGAATGGGAAGACACTGAAGGTTTTATAACCCAAAGCTACGATGGGCTCTCTAAGTCTTCTGCAGCCATAGTGCAATTCAGCACATGCAGAAACAGGTTTTTGGTTGCTGGTGACGAGCATTTACTCAAATTTTGGGACATGGACAATGTCAATATTTTAGTCTCTCTTGACGCTGATGGGGGCCTACCTGTATGATCTATACACCTTTTTGGAATTATGCTTTTACTTGCTATAAGAGTATTATAGATTTTCAATCATTTGTGATGATAAAAATGATGTTTCATTTACTTGTTAACTTCTTTCTCTATGTCAAGGCAAAGCCTTATGTTTGCTTCAACAAAGAAGGCACTCTTTTGGCTGTCTTTGCTGATGATAGTAAGATCAAAATCTTGGCAAATGATATTGGTACCCAATTGCTGCAGACTTTGCCTTCTGGCTCTGTTGATTCGACAGGACGTCCTTGCAGATCATCAGGGAAGGTCAGCTACTAAAACCTTTCTTTTCTTTTTTTTTGTTATTTTTCGAGAAGCAACTATTTGCTACATTAACAGTGCACAATTAGGCCAGTGACACCCTCCTGAATTAAAGTTGAGGATGAAAACATCCCCATGGCCATGGGGGCGTGGTCTGCGAATTTTTCTTTAGATTTCCTTTTCTCTTCTGATCTACAAGACATTGATTTTCACTTTCTCTTCTTTTGTTTAACTTTACTGCTCGAGCATGGTTGATATGTAAACTTGAACCGTCTGAAAACAGGATGATCAAAACATGAAATGTCTAGGAATTTCAGAGCTAAACAACCAACTGAGCACTAAGGAATATGCAAAACCTACGCAAGTTTCGCAGTGCAAATCCCTGAGGCTCACAGCTGAATTTAAGACAAACAGGGTAAGATTCTGTGTTGCATAAGTCTTCGTTCATATTAAGGGCTACACTTAACCGTTGGTGTTGGAGGCACCACTAGGAGTTGGCTTTATATTTTTAATCTCATTTTCTAGAGTTGTTCATTTTTAACCTAATTCAATGACGTACATTAAAAGAGCATACTACACATCGACTATTTTCCTACCACAAACATTAAATGAAAATATAGAAATTTCTTCATTCTAGATATGGTCTTTTATATTCTTAGTAAGAAATTATACCATGATATATGCCTTTCTTGCATTAACCACCACAAGAGATGATCAGTAGAAAATTAAAAAAAAAAAAAGTTTCCATTCTGTGTAGTAATCAAATTTCTCCTTCTCCTTTGACTGATAATCTTGCTCACATGCGATGTTAAGAAAGATAAATTTGATTACTCGGTATGCTCCTCTTCTGGTATAACCGTACTAGTATTCATTGACCTGAACTTAGTTGGGGCGTATGCATTTTCCTTCTGTTTTTTTGGGCTAAATTTAGGATTCAAAAGTTGCTTATTGGCTTTTAATTATCACAGATGTGTAGGTTAATTATCATGTAGGTTACTTAATCTTTGGGGGAAGGGGGCAAAAAAAAACATTGCTACTAAAGTACAAAGGTTGAAGCACTTAATTGAGTGGGTAGATGTCATTCCAGGTGTACAATAAAAGAAGGGTAAAACACACTTTACCCTCTTGTGGTTTAGCAATTTTTCATATATTCTCTCATAGTTTCAAAAGCTATACATAATCTCCTCATAATCTGGATTAAAGTGTTAAAGTGACGGAAATGATCCTTTGTGACGAAACCTAAGGAAATGTGAAAATATCCTTGTTTAAAAATTAAAATGGATTCAGTGACCAAAATATATAAATATAATATGCATGACACTTTAACTCCTTATGATTTTATGTTTTACTACATAACCCCTTTATGGTTTAGTACTTTACCATATAATCCCCTTATAGTTTTCAAAATATATATATAATGCCCATGTGGTTAATTAATAATTTTCAATTTCACAAAGGGGTACTTTTGATATTTTAGTTGACTCCATTTTATAATGCAAATTTCGTGATTTCGACACTTTAATCCAAATTATGAGGAGGTTATATATAGTTTTTCAAACCTCAAGGGAATAATGTGAAAAAATGCTAAATCACAGGAAAGTGTATTTTACCCATAAAAAAATATAACATACTTTAATTATTTTTCTACCACAAAATTAAATAAAAATATAAAAATGTCATGATTCTAACTCTAAGTATGGTCTTTTATGGTCTATGTAAAGAATTATACTACGACACATTTCTTGCATTCACCACGAGATTTTTTTTTAATTTTTTTTGTAGAGGGCCACCCAATAACAGGTGGCACCTCTCCAAAAATTGGCATATGCCACTAATTGCGGCGAGCACACCGTATTCTTTAGTAAAGCAAAGAGATAAGTAAAACAAAGAAAATATCAGACCTGTTTGAGAACCCAATTCAGCACTTAAAAAGTTAATGGATTCAAATCTTAATATATTTCAACCGTTTGATAACTAAAAATTCAACATCTGAATTAATTAAGTAATACTGAATCTTCTAGGCAAAACTTGCTCCCAACATGAAGTGATAAACTATTCACATATCACTTAACGTGATATGTACTCAAATGTATTAGATTTAATATTTTACAATTCAACAACTTAATGGATTTAGATTTCAGATTTCAAATTTCAAATTTCAGATTTTAGACTTTTTTTAAATTTTCGTTTTATCAAACGCACCCTCACTCTATGTAGCGCAATGGAACTTCTCCATTGACTGATAATCTTTTTCATATGTAATGCTAAGAAAGATAAACTTGATCACTCCTTGTACTGCTCTTCTGGTACAATCGTACAAATATTATTATACTGAAATTAGCTGGAGGTATGAGCAGTTCCCTTCTTCTGCCTTTTTGGGTCAAATTGAAGTTACTTATTGACTTTTATTGATCTCAGATATGTAGGTTGCTATACACTAACGCAGGTAACGGAATATTGGCTTTAGCAGCAGATGGCATTCATCTATTCTGGAAGTGGCCAGGAAATGGGTATAACAATTATGGCCAGGTACAACAGTTGATGCGTTCTGTTTTCTTCTGCATCTCTCTCTCTCTCTCTCTCTCTCTCTCTCTCTCTCTCTCTCTCTCTCTCTCTTTGTTCTGTATGTGTATCTTTGTTTTCTCGTGTGTTGATTTTTAGTTAAATTTTTAACTCTTGTCCAGATTCGCCAGTAGGGAAGAATTGGAATAGTTAATTATTACAGTTCTGTTATTTAGCAATATGCTCATTGCCGCAGGCAACAACAAATCGTCCCCCTTGTCTTTGGCATCCGAAGACTGGATCAGTTATGGTCAATGACCTCAACAATGACCCATATCAAATAGTCTCACCATGCTTTGCATTATCCAAGAACGACTCTTATCTTGTATCAGCATCAGGAGGGATGGTTTCATTGTTCAACATTGTAAACTTTGAGGTAAGCATGTGATAACTTATTTGTCAAAATTTTTTAATTTGAGCTGATAGAAATGGAAAAGCCAGCAGAAAATGTTTAACCAAAACACTTCAGTCATGCAGAAGAAAAATGCTGTGTGTGATTCCCGCTGATCATTGTATATCCTTTATCCTATCTATCTAATAACTATTATAGAAGGGCAAATCTAATTTGCATTCTTGAACATGTGGAAAAAATAAATTGCTAATTTTATTGTTAGAGCACCATTTTACATGAATCGTCCCTCCCATTGATTTCGAGTTCAATTTGTTGGATGTTAACTGCAGAAAGTGAGGCGTTGCCTGCTGCCTCCACCTACAGCTACATGCATGGCATTCTACCCTCTAGATAACAACCTAGTTGCTATTGGCATGGACGATTCAACTGTTCTCATCTACAACGTACGAGACTCTGAGGTATAACACTTATATCGTGTGTGTAAAACTTTTCAAATGATGAAAGAGTCGTAGCGATCAATTTACCCATTTTCCATACATATTACAGCTTATGAACAGGCTTTCTGGGCACTTGAAAAGGGTTAGCGGCTTAGCATTTTCGAACTCATTAAAAGTGCTGGTCTCTGCTGCAGTAGATTCTCAGGTCTGTTCTAAATAAAAACATATGTCACACTCATGTCCTCATAAGAATTGTTGTTATTAGCTGCAATGTGCAGTAATAATATTCCTAATCCGACCCATCTCACATGCAAAATTCCTGAATCCATCATATTGTTCCCTTTTGTTGCAGATCATTGTCTGGGATACAATAGCGTGGGAGAAAAAGAAAAGCATCTCGATGCAGATATCAGTTGGGTGGTGGCTGCCATCAGAAACCTCAGAGACCGTTATCCAATTTCACAAGGATCAATTGCACTTTCTTGCAATCCACGAGACTCAACTTGCAATGTATGAATCAAGAAGTCTAGACCGCATCAGACAGGTCAGTTTTTTCGCCCATTCATTCTTAGTTTTTTTCACCCATTCACTCTCCACAAGCACTCGAAGCATACATATATAGCAACTTGTTTTTGTATGCACTGGTTTTAATTTCTTTAGACTACGTTTTTCTCAATTGCTTGTAGTGGAACACGAGAGACTTCTGTGCAAGGATTTCGAGTGGAACATTTTCATGCGACAACCAGCTGGTATTTGTTGTCATGAGAGATGGAATTGTTATGATACTCAGCGCCTTAGATCTGAGTCCAAAATTTCGGATTGATCCTTCTGCTTACCTTCCGCCTAGTAGTGGGTACGTATAACTAGCTACAAGCTTAAATATCGCGGTGCCATTCTTCATCCCACTTTTTATTATATTATTATTTTTTCTTCTTAATAAACATTATATTTTAGTTCTTTTTTAGTTTTTTTAAAATCCAATAACTATTGATTGAGTAAAAAATAAATAAAACAATTTTAAAAAAGTAATATATAATAGAAAATTAAAAAATACAGCAGAAAATTCATAAAAATCTCCTATTTTATGCATTTTGATTTTTTGAGTTTGTTAATTTTTGTGTATTATTCAATTAATAGTTATTGGATCTTAAAAAAAAAACTAAAATGTGATGTTTATGAAAGAGAAATAACAATATAATAAAAAGTGGGACACGAAGTAGCACAGAATGTGGAACACAAGATACGCTGTGCTTAAATATATACTACTCGTCTCTTACGCCTGGACGGGCTTGCCATTTGGTCTAATTAATGATTTTCAACTTAAGAAATAAAGAAGGAAACTTGCATGTAATATTTACATTCATGCTCTATACCCGCATAAAACTAACTCATCGATCTTACAATCATTTTCACCAAGTTTCATATATAAAATCTGGGTAGTTTTTTGCTCATGAACCCCTTAACTTTCCTCTTCATCACATTACGTCTGACGTTAAATATGCCCTTTAGCACTATTTATTTGCCTTGATTATTCAATCTTATTCAATTTAGTTGGATCATCTTGAACATAACAATCTGCTTCTCTGGATGCAGTCATCATGTATATCCAGTGGTGATAGCAGCTCATCCACAGAAGTCGAACCAATTCGCCTTGGGGCTGAGTAATGGCGATGTAATCGTTGTTGAGCCTCATGAGTCTGAAGGAAAGTGGACAATATTACCACCATTTCACAATGGACCAAGAAATAGGATAATCATAGATTGAAGTTCAGTCCATCCTCTCAAAAGATGATGTGTTCAACATAGTTTGCATACTTCAGATTTCAAAATAATTAGCCGAGATTTGGCAATAACATCAATAAAACGGCTTATGTAGCTGAATGTGTAATTGTTTTATGCCTATATTAACTTTTTCCGAAGTATGGAGATGTAAACCTCCTCATTGCCATTTACGTTTTTTTTTTTTTTGGATAAAATATCAAAAAACTCCCTATAGTTTGATAAATGTTCAATTTAATATCCTCTGATTTAAAAACCTACGCGATAACTCCATGTGATTTCAATTAAATTGAAAATTGAATAGAAAATATTCAATCTAACGATTATACGTAAAATGTCAATATTAGTCCTATTATACGTAAAGGCAAAAACTTGTGTAGACCTGGTCCGCGGCCCTACATATAGACCGAGTGGTTCACAAAATGCCACATCATCATGGCAGAATTTTTCAAACCAAAATTATTTTGACTCCTTGAAGGCCTTTCCAGTATGCAGATATTTCACTTTAAGCACCGTTATCGCAAAGAATGTCCAGCAAATCTTCAAATGCGTATGGACATAAACAAGTCAATATTTAAAAAGCAGTCCACAAAGTTATCAATAAATGAGATATCAACCAGTCAATTTTCCAAAGGTATCTTCTAGTAACATTTTAGCCATAATCTTTCCAAACAATGGCTACTAGCCATAGCCATATACATACAAATCAATAACTAGTTTTAATAATGTTCCAGAATTTTCTTCTTCCTTTTTTTTTTTTTTTGCCCAAACTCCATCTTATCCTTGTATTAAGATCTCCCAACCCAAAATTTAAAAAAAAAAAAAAAAAAGATAAAAAAAATCGTTAAATCCCCTAAGATCTTGAATTTTTTTTTCTATTTCTTTTGATTTAACATTTGTTGTTATTTTCAAAATTATAGATCTTAAAATTTATCTGAAACCTAACGTTAGTTTTTGTGGGAAAGAGGTGAAGGCGACATGGAGTAGAACAAAGCGATAGTGACAGTTGGAAATTGGCGAGAAAGAGCGACGAGGACTTTGGGTTCAAAACGAGAGAGTGCCTGAAAAAAGGGGTCATACGGTTGGCTATGAATCTCTCTTGGCTGGCAACTGCTACCTCCTCCCGAGCAAGGGCTGCTAGGTAATGGCAGTGATGGAGCGGAAGTTTGAGAGATAATGAGGAAGGATCCAAGTGCTGTTTGGGCTTCAGCTGGTATTTGAATGATTAGTATTAAGCAGTGGCACCAGAATGCGGGGCTTTGGGGGGTCTACATAGACATGGCAATTATGCTCAAAACCCAACAATCCACCCATTAATTTAAGAGGTTGGGTTGGGTAAGTTGGGTTTTGGGTCAATTTTGGATTGGATAATAAAAATTCATATATATTTTGGATGATTTGAGCATTTATGTTAGGCATCCATTACCCAACTTAAGAAAAAAAACAAATAAACAAACAAGAAATAATAATGAAAGTAGACACGTGCTTTATTCAATTTAGGAGCTGTATGGTCAGAGCCAGAAAATTTGGATTTCTGAGCTTTATGCCCCTTGGGTTGCTTGCTAGCCCTCCGAGTTCTCAATCCTAAAGGCCACCATGCTGGCTGTTTTGAACAAGCTAGTGCTCTAGCATTTGCACATAACAATGCTCTACAGGCTGTCCTCCCCAATCTTGAACTCCTGCTCAAGGGTTTCAAATACTGCAACTTCAATTTCTATGATTGGCTCCTTGATAGGATTAATTGGACACCCGCGGATGGTGGCGGAGGGCTGAGGCGGAGTTCAAGCAACCGTCCTTTCGTCTAACGAGGGGCTGTTGAGGAGCCTTCTATTTCTAGTCTAGAGATTTTTCATTTTTAATCTGCCAGGATAACGTGGCAAACTTTAGACCGCTCGGTCTACCGGTGTGCTTATAGACCGAGTCTACACAAGTTTTTGCTTCCTGTAAAATGCTTTTCATTCAATTTTTAATTTAATCGAAATCGTAATGAACTATAATGTAATTTTTTAAATCAGAGGGAATTAAATTAAACATTCGACAAATTATAAGGAGTTCATTTATATATGGGTAATATTGACATTTTATGTATAACTGTTAGATTGGATGTTTTTCGTCCAATTTTCAATTTAGTTAAAATCACACGAAGACATAGTGTAAGTTTCCAAACTAAAGGAAATTAAATTGAATATTTCACAAATCATAAGAAGCTTTTTTTTATATTTTACCCTATTTTTTCTTGAACAAATGATAGTTAAACCTAGGGCTCCTTTGAAGGCAATGTTGCCCCAAAAGGGAAAGGGTGGAGGGAATATGAGATTTATTAGTATGGATTTATTAATAAAGTAAATTTTATATACACTAACAGCGTATATATTATCATAGTTGGATATATGATATATATGCAAAATTTGAGTTTTAAATTCAAATTTGAATTATGTGTCATGCATCTAATAATGAAAGTGTATACACTATCAGTGTATATAAAATTGGGTTGATTACATTTATCTCCGTTGAGGTTTGGCCAAACTACAAATTGGACCCTTAGGTTTGGTAAAACCACAAAAGGTCCCTCTGTTTCAAACTCTATAGCATATGCGTCCCTGCTGTCATTCTACTGACGTTGACCAGTATGTTGTAACAGAGTCAACAGAGAATTGTGACACAATTCCTAAAGTATTCATGTGACACCAAAATTTTATCATTTTATTTATTTGTTTCACTTCTATCTCTTGGAAAAAAATCATTTTTAGAAAAAATCAAAAAGGAAAGAAAAAAAATCAAATAAAATTTTTGCCAAAAAAAAAAAAAAAGCAAGCAATCCACATGCACACACGCCAATCCTTTCCCATGGCTTCGTACCAGAAGCCATGGATGAATAGTACAGCAAATTGCAGCTGCATGTTTTATCCCATTTCCACTCAATTTTGGGGGGACAGATCATCTTCCAATCTTTATCCCAAATCTGCCATCTGACGGCTCAAAATAGTCCCGAAAAATCTGTTTTCATCACACCCATTGACATTATGTTGGAGGGAGCTTTGATTCCATATAAATAGATAAAAACGGGGTCTGAGAGGCATAACAACAGATGAGACAGTAGAGGGGCGGCGGAGAGAGCGAAGGGAGAGAAAAAAACAGTTAAAAAAAGGGAAAACAAGAGGAAAAGAAGGGCAGAATTTTTTTACAGAAAGGTGAGCCAGGGTTGGAGATTCAGGGACCTTCCCAGCCATTTTCCGAACTCATAAGTGCTTTTTTTGGGAAGATATTTTTTCTGGATAATCTACGGTGTTTGGAGAGGAAGTTTTGTGTTGATCATTTCTAGAAAGAACGGATGGAATATCATCAAATTTGGGTTTAAACCAGCCATCCACGCCAACCTTGAAGTGGGTTCCTGGAAGTTTTGCAGCTTCACTTTGTCATCTTACTTCGAAGTTTATTGCATCCTCTCATCAAAAGGTAGCTCCTTTTGCTTGTTTCATCTCCCTATAAGCTTAAATCCTGACCCAATCTGTCAAGTCTTGCACGCACTTGTGTTTGTTGTTTCATCCTATGATATTTTTTTTCTTCCTTTTATGCATCATTTAGCTCAGATTCTTGCTCTGATGTTTGATTAAAGATGTGATATTTATGTAATAAGGTCGAGTTTGATGATAGGATTGTGTAACGTCGTTGTCTTGACTTGAAAGTTTGGTGCTTGTTTGGATTTTGGTTTCTTCCGTTTTTGACATGAAAACCCAGTAAGGCTGAAGAAGAAACCAGCGAAGAAGATGCATGAAAGATTTGAAATATTACATTTTTACCCCTCGAATTTCTAACTAATTTCTCTATGGCCCAAAATCTGAATATTGGGACCAATTTTTGCCCTTTTAAGTTTTAATCCTCCTTTTATACTTTCAGTGAGTTTGTTGGGTAGGGATGAGCAAACAGTACAAATTCGGTAATTCAGTTAGTTAAATTCTGTGAATTCGGTTATAACCGCTTTCAATTTCGAATTCGCTATAACCGAATTCATTTTGCAACTGATTTCGAATTTGGAAATGGTAATGAATTCGGTTAGACCGAATTCATTTATTAAAAAAAAACTGATAAGATAACCCTGTTATGGTCCTGAAGTAAGTGATTGTGTAATTTTTAATTTACAAATTAGGGCTTCTAAATTATACTACATTCATTATGCTCCTTAATGATTTAAAAATTATTACTAATTTGATCCCCAAAATTATTCGTAATTTAACACATTACTTATGTTCTAATCATTTTGCGGTTTAATTGGCATTTATTTGATCACTTATACCTAGAATCCTTAGTCTATGATTTAAGGAACACATAAAAAGTGATTAATTTAAATTAGAATAAACCTTAGACTGTACAATGATTAGTGATAATTTATGAATTTATAATTTGCAATGATTAATAAAAAGGTATATTAGTTACAAACTTATAATTTATTTCAAATCAAAATGAAACTTATTTACTTACATATGTTATTGTGAAAACCAATACACTAATACATTGATTTTGCAATTCATATGCATTCACTTACACTGTTTAGTTGTCTTGTCTATACTTAAAACCTTAAGATTAGTGAATAGAGAATATGAATTTTTATGTTAAATATGTAATGTAAATTTAGAGCATACTAATACTTGCAAGTTACAGGTTACACATTCAAATATTCAATAATTCAAACATGAATGATGTATCAAATTACCAATATCTAAATTCTAATTACTAATTATGTTTATTGTTTAATATTTAGTATTATACATATATGTATTAATTATTACCTAATTCTAGTCATGTTACTCATGTATAAAATAATAAGTATTATAGTTATGTTATATTGTTATGTATTACTATATATTTGTATTATTATAGTCATATAACAATTAACAAATACTAAAATATGCTGTACATTATTATATATTATTATTATTATAAGTACGTGATAATACCATGTCCTAACTATTATTAATAGCATTTACCTATATAATATAATAATATATTAGTAGTATATACTAATACTAAATAGCATTTATCTATATATTATATAATT